TGGATAAATTTCTAGAAACACACTGCCTACCCAAACTAACAAAAAATGATGTTGAAAATCTGAACAGACCCTTAACAAGAGAAAAGATTGAAAAGGTAATAAATAAACTCCCCCCCAAAAAAAAACCCTGGCGCAGATGGCTTCACTGGAGAATTCTACCAAACATTCAGAGTAGAGCTTATACCTGTACTACTCAAACTATCTCAGAACATAGAAAAGGAAGCAACACTTCCAAATTCATTCTTTGAAACCAGCATAACCCTGATACAAAAACCAGGCAAAGACACCACAAAAAAGGAAGGTTATACACCAATATCTCTCATGAATATAGATGCAAAAATTCTCAACAAAATTCTAGCCAATATAATTCAGCATCATATCAAAAAAAAAAAAAAAATACACCACGACCAAGTAGGATTCATGCCAGGTATGCAAGGATGGTTCAACATTAAAAAATCAGTGTAATCCACCACATAAATAAAGAAAAGAATCACATGATCATTTCAGTTGAAACAGAAAAGGCATTCGACAAAGTACAACACCCATTCCTGATAAAAACTCTCAATAAAATAGATATAGAAGGGACATTTCTCAACGTAATAAAGGGCATCTATGCAAAACCAATGGCCAACATCATTCTTAATGGAGAAAGGCTGAAAACATTCCCCTTGAGAACAAGAACAAGAACAAGAACATGACTAGGATGCCCTTTATTGCCACTCCTATTTATCATTGTGCTGGAAGTCCTAGTTAGAGCAATAAGGCAAGTAAAACAAGATAAAGGGCATCCAAATTGGTAATGAAGAATTTAAACTGTCCCTATTTGCAGATGATATGATAATATACATAGAAAACAAAAAAGATTCCACGAGAAAACTACTGGAACTAATAGGAAGATTCAGCACAGTAGCAGGATACAAGATAAACATACAAAAATCAGTTGGATTCCTGTATACCAATAAAGAGAACGATGAAAAAGAATTCAGGAAAACAATATCATTTATAATAGCTTCTAAAAAAATAAAATACTTAGGACTAAATCTAACCAGGGATGTAAAAGACCTATACAAAGAAAACTACAAAACAATACTGCAAGAAACCAAAAGAGAGCTACATAAATGGAAAAATATACCTTGCTCATGGATAGGTAGACTCAACATTGTGAAAATGACAGTTCTACCCAAAGTGATTTACATATATAATGCAATCCCGATCCAAATACCAACAATGTTCTTTAAAGAGATGGAAAAACTGATTATCACATGGAAAGAGAGGAAGCCCCGGATAAGTAAAGCACTACTAAAGAAGAATTAAGTAGGAGGACTCACACTGCCTGACCTCAGAACTACTATACAGCTGCAGTGGTGAAAACATCCTGGTACTGGTACGACAGATACGTTGACCAATGGAACAGAATTGAGAACCCGGATGTAAATCGATCCACCTGTTGTCACCTGATCTTCAACAAAGGCCCAAAGTCCGTCAGATGGGGAACAGTCTTTTTAACAAATGGTGCTGGCAGAACTGGCTGTCCTTCTGCAAAAAAATGAAAGAGGACCCATACTTCACATCATATACAAAAACTAATTCAAAATGGGTCAAAGGCCTAAATATAAGGCCAAAAACTATAAAGTTTATAGAAGAAAATATAGGATCAACGCTAGAAGCTCTAATACACGGCATTAACAGGATAGAAACCATAACCAACAACACAGAAACTGCAGATGTTAAGCTAGATAACTGGGATCTTCCAAAAATAAATGCTTATGCTCATCATAAGACTTCAACAGAAGAGTAAATAGAGACCATACAGACTGGGGAAAAAAATTTGGACAATGCAAGTCAAACAAAGGTCTGAACTCTAAAATATACAAGAAAATCCAACACCTCTGCAACAAAAAGACAAATAATCCAGTTAAAAAATGGGCAAAGGAAATGAACAGACACCTCACCAAAGAAGACATTCAGGTGGCCAACAAACACGTGAGGAAATGCTCATGATCACTAGCCATTAGAGAAATGCAAATCAAAACCACAATGAGATACCGTCTCTCCCCAGCATTACTGGCACAAATCAAAAAAACTGTAAGTAACCAGTGTTGGAGAAGCTGCAGAGATATTGGAACGCTTATGCACTGCTGGTGTGAATGCAAAATTATACAACCATTTTTGAAAACAATATGGCACTTCCTTAGACAGCTAGAAATAGAAATACCATATGATCCAGTGATCCCATTCCTAGGAATATATTCTATAGAAATAAGAGCCATCACACGAATAGACATACGCACACCCATGTTCATTGCAGCACTGTTCACAATAGCAAAAAGATGGAAACAACCTAGATGCGCATCAATCTCAGATGAATGGATAAACAAACTATGGTACATACACACAGTGGAGTATTATGCAATGATGAAGAACAATGATGAATCTATGAAGCATCTCATAAAATGGATGAAACTGGAGGACATTATACTGAGTGAAATATCACAAAGGACAAATACTTAGGATACCACTATTAAAAACTCATGAAAAGGTTTACACACAAAAAGACACAGTCTTTGATGGTTCCGAGGGATGCAGGGGTGCAATACTAAATAGACAATAGATAAGTGATAACTTTAGTGAAGTGTAAGACAGTGCACAGTACTGGGGAAGCCAGGACAACTTGTACAAGGAAAGGCCTTGGAAACTCGATAGACACATTCAAACTCCCTGAGGGGCCGAATTGCTGGGCAGAGGGCTATGGGCACCATGGTCTTGGGGAACACCTAGCTCAATTGGCATAACATAGTTTATAAGGAGAATGTTCTACATTCTACCTTGGTCTCATGGATTGACTTGTGTCCCTCCAAAAATGTGTGTAGCAACTTGGCTAGGTCATGATTCCCAGTATTGTATGATTGTGTAATCTCATGTGATTTCCTTATGTGTTGTAAATTCTATCACTGTGATTAGGTTATGCTGATGAGGTTTACAAGATTAGATAGTGTCTTAATCCAATCTCTTTTGAGATATAAAAGAGAGAAATGAGCAGAGGCACATGGGAACCTCATACCACCAAGAAAGCAGTGCCGGGAGTAGAGCGCGTCCTTTGGACTTGAGTTTCCTACGCAGAGAAGCTCCCAGACAAAAGAAAGATTGATGACATGGACTTTCTTCCAGAGCCAACAGAGAAAGCGTTCCCTTGGAGCTGATGCCCTGAATTTGGACTTGTAGCCTACTGGACTGTGAGAGAATAAACTTCCCTTTGCTAAATCCATCCACCTGTGGTATTTCTGTTAGAGCAGCACAAGATGACTAAGACACTTGGTAAGTTGCGTCTGGAGTCTTAAAAGCCTGTGAGCAGCCATCTAAGATACTCCACTGGTCTCACCCCTTCGGGAGCAAGGGAGAACGAAGGAAACAAGATACAAGGGAAAGATTAGTCCAAAGGACTAATTGACCGCAACTACCATGGCCTCCACCAGACTGAGTCCAGTACGACTAGATGGTGCCCGGCTACCACCACGGGCTGCTCTGACTGGGATCACAACAGAGGGTCCTGGACAGAGCTGGAGACGGATTTAGAACAAAATTCTAACTCACAAAAAAAGACCAGACTTACTGGCCTGACAGAGACTGGAGAAACCTCAAGAGTATGGCCCTCGGACACCTTTTAGCTCAGTAATGAAGTCACTCTCGAGGTTCACCCTTCAGCCAAAGATTAGGCCCATAAAACAAAAGGAGACTAATGGGGCACAAGAGCCCAGGGACAAGGACTAGAAGGCAGGAGGGGACAGGAAAGTTGATAATAGGGAACCCAAATTCGAGAAGGAAGAGTGTTGACATGTCGTGGGGTTGTTAATCCATGTCATAAAACTATATTTTTACAAACTGTTTACTGAGGAATTACTTGTTCCATAAACCTTCATCTGAAGTACAATAAGAAATAAATACATGGTGATAAAGATTTAATTAGATAGGAAAATGCATCTATACCCACTAGGTTGAACCATATGAAATTGCCATTTTATAATAAAATACAGATACAAAGGCCTGAAGAGAAATAGCCAGTAATCGTGTCTTTCAGGATTTTTCTTCCCTGCTTCGGTACACATGTGGTCCATAGCCCAGTCCCTCAGTGATTGCGGCTCTCTCTGGCCATTATTTGCTAAGCTGGGCAGTGAGGAGACCTCTACGAAGTGATTACCTCCCCTGGTGAGAGTCGGGGCTTCCATTTTCTTTATATAAACTTGTTGGGTTTTCTCTGTCTTTTACCAGAATTACTCAGTTGTAGGTCACCAGTGAACTTTTTCCCTTTCAGAATTTTTTCTGCTTTTAATTTTTCTTTCAGAGTATTTATTGTTAGCAGTTTTTCTGATGGTTTTGATGGTGCTTGAAATTCTTTTTTGACTTAAATGAAATCTTAGTAAGCCTCTCTCTTACTCCTTTTCTCTGCATTCCCTAGCTTCTCTGTCTATAAAAATCCCAATGGGCTCTTTGCTTTTCCATTACTGTGTTTCTCAACCTTTTTTTTTTTTTAATTATCACCCCCCTGCCCAAGGACACAAAGTTCTCCCTCATGAGAGAAACTAAATGGTAAGGAATAAGATTTGTCAGGTGGGATTGAGTTTTGGAGGGCCACAGAGCATTCCTAATAGCTAAGATTCCATGCCTCCCCTGAAGCATTGTCCACCTGTCTGGGGCAGTATTTCTCCTGCTGAGAGTGCACGCTGTCTGTGTACACTCGGCTGCGTCTCTCAAGCGCTAGCGTACGTTTAAATGGCTTCACCTAACCTTTCTGTTTTCATAACCCTGGTGTCTCTCTTTCTTATCCTTCTATTAAACTCTATTCCCTTTGTTTTTTTCTTGGCTGTGAAATAATATGCACTTGAATATCCAATGTCACTTCAAATTCAGCGTGTTGAGAATTTAAAAAATTATTCTCCTTTTTAACTTCCCTTCCTGTATTCCCACTTTTGTCAATATAAAAGTTGTTCTTCCAGTCTCCTAGTTTAGAAGTAAGCCACTGTTAGGTTTCTCTCTCATATTCAGCATCTCCAAATCTCATCAATTCTTTTTGGTTTTAAATTCTTTTAAATTTATTAACACTCTTAATTCCCACAGATTTCACCCTAAAATGGATCCACTTAATGCTTGAGTTATGGTAAAAAATAAACAAGTTTGTTGACATCATTTTTCAAGCCCCAGTCAGATGTTGCAAGTAGACTTGTCTCCCTTAAACATACCATTTTGGATAAAAATGGGAATTAGCTTTAGTCGCTGGTGTAGAGCATCTAAACTCTCTGCCTGGCTCTGGAGGCTTTTGTACCCTAGAGAGCACTGTTTCTGCTACCCAAGCTTACCCACCTTTCCACCTAAGCCTGTTCCTAAGGTCCTCCATGCGTCCTTGCTCTGGAGTCTTCAATTATACCAAGTTTTAGTTTCTAATTAATTTTGTTCTTTAAGAGTTTTTTCGAAGTCCATATCCTGGGTGCAGCCTTTGATCACCTCTTCCAGTTGACCCCTTGTTCTAAGAGCTTTCTATTTCCCAGTCTCAGACCTGATTACATATTGTTTTGTATGCTTTTTTTTTAACCCATTGGATCTGTGACTGATGTGTTTCCCTTGTTTCCAGCCGGGTTCCTAGAGGGAAAGCAATGTTTCTAATACTTCTAGTGCTGTGTACACAGTATTTAATAATTGTTGATAATACTTTAGCAGAGAAGAAATATTTCTTACAGTCTCGTGGGAGAGACATTAAGTAAACAGACTCTAAATCTGCTAAGTCCTACAAAGGGTATAGCAGCACTCTGAGAAAATGATGGCATTGATGGGATGACGGTGATGTGTGTGTCATTTAGAGTTTCAGGCAAAGCCTGTGAAGTGACATTTCGACTGAGATCTAAAGGATCAATAGGCATCAAGCAGGTGACTAATGAGAGGAAGAATATTCCAGGAAGAGGGAATAGTGCAGTAGAAGACCCTAAGACCTGGAAGAAGGAGTATGGCTAGCACACAGGGAGCATCTGGGAAGAATGGAGTGGGAAGAAGTGGTATGGAAGGCCCGGCTCATATCGTGGCACTGAAGGCACTGGTAAAAAGTTTAGATTTTATTCAAAGTTCAGTGGGAAGCCATTGGAACAGGGGAGTGATGTGCTCTGATTTACCCAGTATCACTGTGGCTGTTTTGTAGAGCATGGTTCACAGAGGGGCAGAAATGAAGTAGGATATGGCTTCCAATCTCAAACTGTGCTTTAAGTTTTCATTTTTATTGATATAAAATTGAACATAAGTTGTCCAGTATTTTTTTATACAAGTAAAATATAAAAAGTCTCCAAAATACAAACAATACTGAAATATAATATTAAGTGAAATCACTAATAATAGTTTATGTACTCCCTTTTTTCTGTGTACTTCATACATACATGTGTACATTACAAATATGTGTTAAAATACTGGATTATACTGTATGAATTTTTCAACTTGCTGTTTTATGTAGTATTTTGTAGGATTTTTTTTTATGTCTGATTAACTCCCTATAATAAGATCCTTTTTCTGATCATGTCGGCATTTCCTCCTAATACTACCCACTCGTTTTTCATATTATTTTAAATATTTAAAAAACCTAATTTCACAGTTTCGTTGCTACTTACAAAATGTACCATTAATACAGTCCCTTCCCCACTGATTTTCATATCCTTGCAATTTCTATAACCACTAGCCGTTCTCAAGTACTGTACAGTAAGGATACTGGAGCAATATCCTTTGACCATTTAACAACTTTGGCCCACCTCATGATTTAATTGCTCCAAACTAAATGTTTTTCTTTTATATTTTCCTTTTGCCATTACTTTTAAAATTTGTAAACAAAGTAGTACATTCACATAGGTAAATCACGTATCACGTCAAAAGGCTTATAACAAAAACCAGTAGTCCCTTCTCTGGTCCTCCACCTACCACATCTGTTTTCTCAAAAGCAGTCAGTTTTAATCCTTTCAGCTGTTCCTTATTGTGTATATTTCATATTTCCAAATGATATGCTTATGTAGCTGTTTCTTTTTATTTTAAAAAATACATTTACATGGTTAAAAAAGTATGAAAAAGTGCACAATGAAAAGTTTCTTCCATGTCCTTAACTCTTCTCTACCCAGGTTCTGGTCATTTGCTATTACAAACAATCTGCAGTGAGTAATCTTGTGTAAATATCATTTCACAACTGTGCATGGAAATCTGAAGAGTAAAATCCCAAACTGGAATGCTGAGTAGTGTGTACATTTGCAATTTTGGTAATTGTCAAAATGTCCTTAATGGGGTGGGGGGTGGTGATACTAATTTACACTCAACAAGCAATGTGTGTCTTCAGACTAACAAGTTCTGGCCAGTGTGACAGATGGAAAATGATACCTCAGTGTACTTTTAATTTCTTTCTGTAGCCATCACTTTTATAATTTTTCTTCTGATTTGCTCCTACAGTCTGTAATTTTCTCTCTACCCAAAGTCCTGCTGTCTTCCAATGGTGTTTATAAGCTACAAAGTTAGTCATTCTACTCCTAATTTAAATCCTGTAACATTTTAAAAGGAGCTCTAGTGGTGCAGTGGTTAAGCACTCAGCTGCTAACCAAAAGGTCGGTGGTTCAAACCCACCAGCGGCTCCATGGGAGAAAGATGTGGCCCTCTGCTTCATAAAGATTACAGCCTTGGAAACCCTATGGGGCAGTTTTACTCTGTCCTGTTGGGTTTTTATGAGTCAGAGTCGACTCGATAGCACACACCCACACACTCACACACTAGCTTTTCTTTAAATCCCCTGAGGGATTTAGCCCTAAATTCTTAGTATTACACAGCAAGCCCTTCGTTCTAGCTCCTCCCTTCCTCTCCAGGGCACATTCTTTACCACTTTTACTTGTATTATATCCTTCATAAGAAGCTTCTTGTAGTTTTCCTAAGTGTGTCATAGTCTCGCTCCACATTTCACTTATTTTTTTCTGTCATTTTCTCCCAGAAATTTTCTCCAAGGCCCTCTAGTTTGGGTTGAGTGTCCCGTTCTTTGCGCCCATACTGGCTGTGCATACACCTGTTATAGCACTTACATTGTGTTATCTTTGTTGATATACTTGTGTGTCTTCTCATCAAGTTCTAGCTTGCTAAGCAAAAGAATTTCAGTTTTTCTCCGTGGATCCCCAATACCTATTAGAGTAGATTACCAATTAAATGCAACTTTAATGCAGTGAAATGAAATGTTATTTGTGGCAAAGGTGTAGGATTCATAGCCTTCTGCAGGATTAGGGGAGGAATACTTTTTACTGACTACACTTAAGAACAGAGAAGGAATTCCTGTCTTACGTACCCAAGCCTTCTCTCTCCCTGACATTAACCCAAAGAATATGACTATAAGGACAAGAAACTTAACATTTCCTAGTTAGTAAGTCTTCAGGCCTTAGCCGCTCCTGAAATCTTACATCTACATTTTATTCATTTGTATCACTGAATTCTCTTGTTCCCTAGGAGAACTGAATGAAAATTCTGTAGAGACTCTTCAAGAGAAAGGACTTAGGGATCTTTTACATGAAGAGCTTTCCTACTGGCTAATTTTGGAAAAGATGGCTAATACAATAACTGGGAGTCAGGATTATATTGTGAATCTTCAAGAGGAAGTGTATGAAGACCCAGAACTAGATCATTCCGCTTGTCAAAAGTGGAGAGAAGCTTCTTCTCGTATTTCTAGAAATAAGAACATGGTAACTCTTCAAAGTGATGATTTAAAAAAAAAGGAAAATGAAGAATATCTGTCTTTGAAAGTCCCAAGCCAAATGTCCACACAGGACTCTTCGGTGAAGTTCTGTAAGAATGAGCCACAGGATTCTAAGGAAAGCAAAAGTCTCTTTGTAATTGAAGAAAGTACTCAGAGAAAAGTGATATGGGGGGAAAGTCCTCCCATGGACCATTGTTCAGACAACCTTCAAGTTAAACTTCTGTCAGATGTAACAGAACTGGTCCCTCCATTGTTCAGTGGTGAGGCAATCTGCCACAATAGCCAGTTGAAAGAATCCTTGGATCCCTTTGACTATACCCATAAAGGCATTTATGGTTGTAAATCACAGTTTGTCAGTTATTGTCATCAGAAGGCTCATATAAATGAGAAACTTTGTAACTGTAATGACTGTGGAAGAATACTTAAGATCAGCCCAAAGGTTCATCCATATGAGAGAATCCGCTCAGAAGAGAAACTACATAAATGTGTTCAGTGTGGTAAGGACTTTAGTCAGAGCTCAGAACTACTACGTCATCAGAGAGACCACACAGAAGAAAAACCCTATAAATGTGAGCAGTGTGGGAAGGGCTTCACAAGGAGCTCGAGTCTCCTCATTCATCAAGCAGTCCATACAGATGAGAAACCTTATAAGTGTGACAGGTGTGAGAAGGGCTTCACAAGAAGCTCAAGTCTACTCATTCATCATGCAGTTCATACAGGTGAGAAACCTTATAAATGTGACAGGTGTGGGAAGGGCTTTAGTCAGAGTTCCAAACTGCACATCCATCAGCGAGTACACACTGGAGAGAAGCCCTATGAGTGTGGTGAGTGTGGTATGAGCTTCAGTCAGCGCTCTAACCTACACATCCACCAGCGAGTCCACACAGGAGAGAGGCCCTACAAATGTGGAGAGTGCGGGAAGGGCTTCAGTCAGAGTTCAAACCTTCATATTCATCGGTGCATACACACCGGAGAGAAGCCTTACCAATGCTATGAGTGTGGGAAGGGCTTCAGTCAGAGTTCAGATCTTCGCATCCATCTCCGAGTCCACACTGGAGAGAAGCCCTATCATTGTGGCAAGTGTGGGAAAGGATTTAGCCAGAGTTCCAAACTCCTCATTCATCAGAGAGTACATACTGGAGAGAAGCCCTATGAGTGTAGCAAGTGTGGAAAGGGCTTCAGCCAGAGCTCCAACCTTCACATCCACCAGCGGGTTCACAGAAAAGATACCTGTTAAATGATGTGAGCCCACTAAGGTCTTCAGTCAGTGCTTGTACTGTAAAGACTTAAATATTTTTAACAACACTCTTACCTTTATGTTCTACAAAGGGGAGAAATAGTGAAGATTATTCAGATATGTTCCTTCACTGAAAAGCATTCATTTATTTTAAAAGTAATTTAAGTACCAAGCACTTTTTATGCTATACAAAGAATAGATTGCTGTGGTTCCTCAGATGAAGAGAGTGAAAACACTTGTACTCAATAATTGAGCCAGTGTTACTAGAGCTACACATCCTGCCCAACATTTTTAACCAGGAGAACTTTATATTTGTCCAACCAGGACATGGTTCCCTTGCTCACATTCTCTAACAAATTGGAACTCTGGTGTCTCCTCAAATCACGTGCCTTGTGGTTTTCCATACTTCCTTCTGGCCCTGAGTAGCGCACTCTAAACTGATTGTGTAATATGCCAGTTTTAGGCTGAGGGGGTGGTTGGCAGTATGATGGACATGGAAACTCTTGGGTTTATTGCAAAAATACATAACAGGCTGCAGCTACACAACAAGGAATGGAATAATTAGTCATGTAGTACATCCCCATACACTATTTTGGCAGGATGTTGAGTATCCCTCCCTCCTCCCTGAAGCAACTGTTCAGGAACATAAAAGACAACTGTCGTCTCATCAGTTCTCACTTATGGTGACCCCATGTGTGTCAGAGTAGAACTAGGCTCCATAACGTTTTCAGTGGCTGCTTTTTTTCAGAAGTAAATCTCCAAGCCTTTCTTCTAAGGTGCCTCTGGGTGGACTCAAACCTCCAGCCTTTCAGTTAGCAGCCAAGCACATGAACCGTTTGTACCACCCAGTGACTCCTCAGGAATATAAGTAGTTCTTTTTCCTAGGTGTGGCTAATTTACTGGTGTACTTCCAAATCTCACGACGTCAGGTGACCTCCCCCAAACTAAAGCCAAGTAGGGTACATACACCATGTTGAAACATGTCAAGTGAAATATATTTAAGGATATTTAATTCCTCTCAACACTTTTCTATCTTGTTTCCTTAATCTTCTTCTCCACCATGTTCTATACTAAGCAAAACAAAGGAAAAGTTTGATATTTTTCTTTTCAGCTTACCTCTTTTTATAATATTTGATGTATAGTACCCCAAAATAGTCATTTGACTTTTTACAGCATCCCCAGCCTCCTTAGAATTCACTGTGGACATCTGACACATATTTGTACAATTTTTATATTTGGCTAGAAGTACATCATATAAAAATAGCTACACAGATTTTTGTTTTTTTCATTCAAGGCATAAAGTACTATTGTACAAAATAGAACCACCCAGTTAGAATGATCAGGGAAGTTTGCATGAAAGAGAGACAATTTAAGGTTTTTTTTTTAACATACTTAAGAACTGTATTTAGAGAGTATGTTTGGGAAGGGCAGACTTATCATTGGGTATTACGGGTGGAACTGGATGTGGGGATCGGTACCTCAGAGTTAGGCATTCATCTCCTAGGAGTTACTAAAGTTCATGCAACAGCTGAGGGTAGAAAATTCAAATACATAACTAAATTGAAAGTTACGAGACAGTGAGCTCCAAATTGCAGCCCTGATTTTCTAAACAAAGGTTAATGATTCCTCGGGCAGTGCTGAAGAGGTTGCCTAGTATTCTATATCCCAGTCTTTCCCCAAATACTAGTATCCATATATAAAAAATACCAGACAGGGAAGATATGGATACTGTATTAACTTGGGAAGGAGGGACTGCAACCAAGAGTATACATCTAGACCAGAGGTAACCTTAGGCAGCCAACTGGGAATAAGCAGGGGGAGGCATCATACATAGAACCATTAATTCAGGGGGAGCATAGCTAATTTCTAATAAGGTATGAAAAAGTAAGACATTTGCCTTTCTTCAAGAGATATTCCCTTAATATATGACTCCAACTCTGAGCATGACATATGGTGATGATTTAGGGTGATGACTCAGCATTTGCTCTTTAGTATTGCATAATATCCCTCATTGCTTGCTTGGGTACTATGAGGCAGTCTCATAAATGATGTGATTCTGTTTCCGTGATCTCTAAAATAATGAATGCCCCCCCACGCCCGGTTTCTCCAACCCTTTTATAAGATTGTGCCTGAACATCTATTCTTATGGGTTTGACTTTTTAACATATATCTTCTAATCGGCTGGTGTTATATAAATCTAATGGGGATTTGGAGCCAAATAAGTACCACTAGGATCCATATACAGTAAAGCCAGAGGATAGGTCTGAAATCTGAGTCTCAAATGGGTATTAAAATAATCTGTTTTTCTCAATTTCCTTTGATCTATGCCTTATCAATGTTTTTAACTATGTTTTATTTTTAATGTTCTCTCTTATGCATTTCCTTCTTTAGTACTATTTAAATGTGATCAAAGTCCTTGGGGAGCATTTCTCTGATTATAGAAGGGAAGTCTGTGGAAACCAATAGATTGGAAAAAGAGGGACTCATGCACAAAAATGCAGGAAGAACAACAGGAGATATGTTACATTTCATCAGATCTTAAGATACCATGAATTATAAAAAGAAACCTATGTATACTAAAAAATAAAATATTGGCAATTAAATTACATACCATTAGTTCTAAAACACACCTGTTTCAGAAATGTGAAGATGAAAACAAAAAATGTATCTTAGGATTGCTGAAAAATGGTTCCTTTTCAGAGTTCAGGGGTTCATCCAACTTGATGCTTTATTAGTACTCACTGATTTGAGTTGATGGTTTTGGATAGTCTCATTAATTACCCATCATATGCAATTGATAATTCTGTTACTAGCATAGCAAAGGTTTTAGGTTACAGATTATTTAGTATTTGTTGTGTACTGGAGATTAACTTTTCCAGTGCTTGAAATTTTTTTAATTGTGCTTTAGGTGGAAGTTTACAATTCAAGTTAGTTTCTCATACAAAAATTTATACACACATTGTTATGTGACCCTAGTTGCTCTCCCTGCACTGACAGCACACTCCTCCTCTCCACCTCGGATCTCCCGTGTCCATTCAACCAACTCCTGATCCTCTCTGCCTTCTCATCTTGCCTCTGGACAGGAGCTGCCCATTTGGTCTCATGGATCTACTTGAGCTAAGCAGCACTCTTTGTGAGTTATCATTTTATGTCCCACAGTCCAGTCTAATCTTTATCTGAAGAGTTGGCCTCAGGAATGGTTTTAGTTTTGGGCTGACAAGAGAGTCCAGGAGCCATGTCTTCCAGGGTCCCTCTAGTCTCAAAGCATTTAAGTCTGTTTTAACTAGAATTTGAGTTCCTGCACCCCCCTTTCCTCCTACTCCGTCAGGGACTCTCTGTTGTGTTCCCTGGCAGGGCAGTCGTCGGTGGTAGCTGGGCACCATTTAGTTCTTCTGGTCTCAGGCTTATGAAGTCTCTGCTTTATGTGGCACTATCTCTTGGGCTAATATTTTCCTTGTGTCTTTGGTGTTCTTCATTCTTCTTTGCTCCAGGTGGGTTGGGACCAATTGATGCATCTTAGATGGCCACTCACCAGCTTTTAAGACCCCAGATGCCACTCACCAAAATGAGATGCAGAACATTTTCTTAATAAACTGTTATGCCAGTTGACCTAGATGTCCCCTGAAACCATGGTCCCCAGACCTCCACCCCTTCTACTCTGTCCCTCGAACTGTTTGGTTGTATTCAGGAAACTTCCTAGCTTTGGTTTAGTCCAGTTGTGCTGACTTCCCCTGTAGTGTGTATCCTTCCCTTCACCTAATTCTTACCTACTATCTAGTTAGTAAATAACCCTCATCCTCCCTCCCCATCATTGTAACCATCAAAGACTGTTTTCTTCTGTGTTTAAACCTTTTCTTGAGTTCTTATAATAGTGGTCTTATACAATATTTGTCCTTTTGTGACTAAATTCACTCAGCATAATGCCTTCCAGATTCCTCCATGTTATGTTTCATGGATTCATCATTATTGTTGTGTAGTATTCCATTGTGCGAATATACCATAATTTATCCATTCATCCATCGATGGACACCTAGGTTGTTTCCATCTTTTTGCTGTCGTGAACAGTGCTGCAGTGAACATGGGTGTACATGTATCTATTTGTGTGATGGGTCTTATTTCTTTAGGATATATTCCAAGGAGTAGGATTGCTGGATCATACGGACTTCTATTTCTAGCTTTTTAAGGAAGCACCAAATCCATTTCCAAAGTGGTTGTACCATTTTACATTCCCACCAACAGTGTATAGTGTTCTGGTCTCTCCACAACCTCTCCAGCATTTATTATTTTGTTTTTTTTTTTTTTTTTTGGATTAATGCTAGCCTTGTTGGGGTGAGATGGTATCTCATTGTAGTATTGATTTGCATTTCTCTAATGGCTAATGATTGCGAGCATTTCTTCATATGTCTGTTAGCCGCCTGAATGTCTTCTTTGGTGAAGTGCCTGTTCATATTCTTTGCCTATTTTTTAATTGGGTTGTCTTTTTGTTGTTGAGGTTTTATAGTATCCTGTAGATTTTAGAGATTAGGCGCTCATCAGATTTGTGGTACCAATGCTTGAAATTCTTACCTATCAAATGGATACTGTTTGCTTTCTATATGGATTTACCTTCCAGGCAAGAGAAAGGAAGTTTCTTCTCTGCAGAAATTGAGTGGTCCCAAGGGAGAAACCTCTATTGTGGCATTTGAGAGTCCAACAGTAAAGCAGCTATGTTCTAGTTCCAATATACATATAACAGAGCTTTAAAATTCATGAAATAAAACCTGATAAAGTAGGAAAATCCTCAATTATAGTAAGATACTTGAACATTAACTGGTAGCACAAGTAGAAAATCAATTATATATATATAAAGTAGAAAATCAATCAATAAAACAAACAAATAAATAAATATATAGAAGACTTGAACAGCACTGTCAACTAACTGGACTGACATTTATAGAACATTCCACCCAATAACAGCAATATACATTCTTTTCAAATGCACATATTATAGGCTATAAGAAGTCAATAAAAAGGATTAAAATCATACAAATTATGTTGTCACCTGAACAAACAAGAAATCAATAACAAAGATAACTGAAGAATCCTCAGATATTTGGAAATTAAACAACAGTTCTAAATGAGCCATGGGCTAAAGAAGTAACAAGGAAAATCTGAAAACATTTTCAACTGCATGAAGATACATCAACATTTGAGGGATGCAGCTAAAGCTCATTAAGTACTCCGATAAGAAAAAAATCCCAAATCTGTGATCTGAACTCCCACCTTAAGAAACTACAGCAAACATTATACTTAATGGTAAATTATTGACTTTGTTCTTTCAGAAAGAGAAAATAACATAAGGATGGATGCTGCCAACTCTTCTATTAAACATATGGTTATGTCCAGTGCAATAAGGCAGGATAAAGATATAAAAGGCCTAACAAATTGGAAAGAAAGAAAACGAACTCTCATTTGTAAATGACATATTTGTCTAAATACAAAATATAAGTGAACCTACAAATTTTAGAATTAATAGTCAATTATTCAGGGTCTCTGGAGACAAGATCAATATATGTATAATCAGTTACATTTATGTATACCAGTAACAAATACAAAAGAAAATATGGTAGCACTGAAAACTACAAAACACTCTGTGAAATTAAAGAAGATTTAAATAAGTGAAGGGAACATACTATGTTGTCAATAGCAAAAGATGTCAGCTCCTATGAAATTTACTTAAATTTGATTAAAGCAATTCCAGTAACGTCCCATTAGGTTTTTTTGTTTTTTTAAATGTCAAGTTGATTTTACAATCGATAAATGCAAAGCGCCAAGACAATCTTGAATAAGAATACTGCCTGATATTAAGATTTCTTATAAAGACATACTATTAAGATATAACGTTGACACAGGAATAAACAGATCAATAGGACTACGGAGCTCCAATCTGTTATGACAGTGACATAGCAGTGCAGTGAGGAAAGGCAGGTCTTTTCAAACCAATTAAACCATGTCAATAGGACAACTATATGAGGAAAAAAAGACTCTTGATCTTTAGATCACAGTGCCCACAATAAGAAATTTTTGTGAACTGCAAATCAAAATGTGAAAGACTTTTAAAATATTCTTAGTAGAAAATGTAGAGGAATCACCTCATGACCTAGAACAGGCCAAAAAAAAAACGAACACTAACCATGAAGGGAAAAAAATGTTAAATTGGAACACAATATTTTTGTGCAAAAGATAGTATTAATAAAAAGGAAAGCCACAGATGAAGCTATTTCCAATGCTTACATCTGACAAAGGTCTTATATTGCGTATATACAAATAACACCTACAAATTAGTAAGATAAAGGCTGACAGCCCCCAGTAGAAAAATGGTCATCTTAAACATTTCACAGAAAACAAGTATATCCAAATAAACACATGAAGAAATACTCTACTTCATTAGTCATCAAGAAAATTAAAACCACAATGCAGTATGACACATCCACCATAATGGCTAAAAGGTAAAAGCAGATTATACCTGCATTGGTGAGAATCTGCAGCTCTCATACACTGCTGGTGAGAATATAAACTGAGGCAATCATTTTGGAAAACAGTGGCAGAATCTACTAAAGCTGAATATATGCATACAGTATGACCCAGCAATTTTATTCTTGTCATATGCCCAAGAGAAGTGGGTCCATATAGTCATCTAATGTACTAGAATGTTCAAGCAGCACTACTTGTTGGAGCCAAGAATTGAACATTCTCTAGTGCTCATCCACAGCAGAATGAGTCAACTCTGGTATGTTCACATGGTAGAATATTGTAATGCATTAATAAGCAGCGATCCACAATCCCATGCAATAGTAGTGATGAATCTCACAAAATGTTGAAGCCAGACGTGAAAGAAAGTACATACTGTTTGATTTTATTTATACCAGATGAGAAAAATCAGTCCTATACCAAGTAAAAATCAGCTGGAGACAAGTAAAAACCCAGCCCTGCCATCTGTGATCTCTGATACCAGGTAAAGCCTGCTGCAAAGTTAACAGAAAACATTTCCCCCAAGGGTAAGGTTATGCTGCATATGTGAAGTGTCCTAACAACCTCCTCCTTTGAGTTACTACTGGTTGTTTTTCCAATGATGTCCCAATCCTGCTTTGCTCTCCCCACCTGCTGAACAAACATTACCGAGATACCTAAACTGCCCTCACCTCATGACAGCAACCAATTTAGAAATGATCCCCACTTCCCACTAGCTTCTCTTCAGAATTATTCAGCCTAAGCCCAAGCCTATGTAAACCTCTCCGGGCTCCCTCTTTTTACAAGATGCACTCGCTGGTTCCCCTGAGGTGTCCTCCATTGCTGCAGCAAGCCAGTAAGCCTAAATTTGTTGGACTACAGTTTGCCCTTGGTGGTATTTGGCTGTTGAGCTTTAGCATCAAAAACAGGCAAAAATAATCCATGGAGGTAAAGTCAGGATATGAGTTAACGTGGGAGGGGTAAGGAACTGGGAGAGGGCATGAAGGTGGCTGCTGTAGTGTTGGTGATATTGTTATCTCGAACTGAGTGGTGGTTATACAGGCGTGTTCACTTTGTGAATATTCATTGAACTGTACACTTACAATTTCAGCACTTTTCTCTAGGTATGTTATACTTCAATAAAAAGTTTGTCGTAAAAAATGCAAGTAGTCTCTCCACTTCTGTGTCCACCAAGCCTGTTCACAGGATATCCAGTCAGTTTGTCCTTTATTTCTTTATCCCTACTTACCCATTCATAGTTAACAGGGTCACTATAAGCTTTATCTCCTATGGGGAACAAATCCTTGCAGTGAGCACCCCTCTTGGAACATTTTGAAATAAATTATCCTGCAACACATGGTTGGATTTTTTATACCTGGTGTGTGTCCACTTGTGCTGAACAATTTTTCAGTTCTTGATACAGCTGTTAATTTTTCTGGAGCAATACTGGTTTCCATGGCTTAACCTTCCTTACTTGCGCAAATAGAAATTGA